GGACATTTCGAATTTGCACTGTCGTTTTGTACAGGCCGAACTTCGGAGCTAAACTGAAAACCGGTTCTGCTCGATGCCAGCGCCAACGGACCCAACGGTTTCGACTAAACGTAACAATAGAAATAAAAGCCATCTACCAGGGGTGCGTTCCAAAACCTACAGTAAAACTATAATTACATCTCTATACGTTTTGGATCGCAGCCCTGAAAGGTAAAATCCCCGCTCCGGGTGAGTATACCTGCTGCGTGCTATTAGAGCCTCGACGCTGCTCAAGAGATTTGTTGCGCTCGGAGGCCATAACTTCCGAACGGCTGCGAATTTCGATTTAAAACGTTGGGAACATATTCTTACAATGTTAAATAAACATTTTATGCAAAAAAAAAAAATTCGATTTTTTGAAAGTTCTAATTGGATTTCCCCCCTTAAACATAGTGGTTCCAATTGCATTAAAAATACACTGCGGTTCTATGGAAAAAGAATTGCTTACGCAGAACTAACGTTGCTCTAAATTAAATTGTCCTGTCAAATACATACGAGATCGAAAACAGAAACGCTACAACACGAAAATAATCGTCCGACGTTTTATTCTAGTAACAAGGACGCCAAGCCTCGTTACAAACCTCGAGATAGATCTCTTATTTTTTTATGCTCTACAACAAACTCAAAGCACATCAAAATCGGTGAGAGATAGTTTCGCCAGGTCCATTATATGACATTTCTTCACAGTAATTAAGAATACTGGACTTGTACTATTTAATTTTGCTGAAATTTCCGGTACTGTTTTCCTTCAATTTCTTTTACTGGTGATTTCCTCTGCTTTGGTCGTGATTCTCGGCCATCTAAATCGTTTTCTGAAGTCATATGTCCCAGAAGTTCTGAACCGCCTAATGGTATCATGAACTGTAAACTTCGATAACTTTAACTGGACAACTATAGCTCACACAGATTTCCCTTCAAATTATTATATAATGTAGACATTGCATTTCGTAACTAAATACTTAGCCCCTTAGCTCTATCCATTTTCACTGACTTTTCAAAAATAAACACTGTTGACTTTCGTCAACAATTTTTTGCGCAATAATGAATAATTTTCTCTAATTTTCTAATTTTCTCCAAATATTAGACTTTTATATAATTTTCTGAAACGAAAAGTACTACAAACAATTAATTAAAGTTCCAGAACCGTATCCTAATCTAACATGGTATAGAAAGTTTAAGGTATGCATCCAATAGCTTCTTTTTCTTCATGCTCTTGAGTAAAATCACGAATTCTCAACAGGTGCTACTTCTTTTTATTGGTAACAATTTAAAAATAAAAATAAAATAAAATTATGAGTCACAAAAAACACTTGGAGTACCCGTGTCGCAATAAGTTGCTTTGAAATTTACAAATTGATATACAAAATATTATTTGGAAAATATATTTAAATTACTTATATATCCAGGCACGCCAAGTATTTTTTGTGTGACACTTAATTTTATTTTATTTTAATTTTTATATGGTTACCAATAAAAAGAAATCAATAGTTACCACAGTTTGGTGTGAATATACATAAAGCTATTATATACGCAATGATGTTTTCGTTTGATCTAATTATCTTTTAACATCCCTTTTGTAGAAAATATTGGGAGTACAAATTAGTTCGGTCCGTTTTTAAAAGATTGCTCTGGCTGTTATGAATGTTTCATAGTGACGGCTGATTTCGGTGGTTTCAGAGAGGTTAGACATCTGTCAATAATATTCAGTTTATATCGCTTTGAGTTTCATACAAGACCCCTGTTTTTTACTGTGTTGAATATGTCAAATTTTGTGTTAACTAAGCAGCATTTGCGGGAGGTTTTAGTTTTCTGCTTTAATTGGAAGAAAAGTGCAGCTGAAGCGCATCGAATGCTTGTAGAAGTTTATGGTGACAATGCTCCAACTGATAAATCATGTAAGGAATGGTTTCGACGTTTGAAGAATGATGATTTCAGCGTTGAAGACAAGTCTCGCTCTGGACAAAAAAATTCGAAGACAAAGAATTGGAGGCTATAACATGGCGATTCCATTACGGGCCATCGGTATAGGCTACAATTGATTCGTTTGAGCCGTGCATTACGAGAAAAACGGCCGGAATACGAGCAAAGACATGACAAAGTTATTCTTCTGCATGATAACGCTCGGCCTCATGTCGCAAAAGTCGTAAAAAATTATTTGGAAACGCTCAAGTGGGATATTTTACCGCACCCGCCGTATTCGCCGGACATTGCTCCTTCTGATTACTGGTTGTTCCCACGGATGCAGCACGATTTGGTAGGTCACCGGTTCACTTCTTCTTTCGCAGAAATCGAAAATTGGCTCCTAATTTGGATCGCCTCAAAAGACGAGACATTTTTTTGAGATGGAATTCGAAAATTGCCTGAGAGGTGGGAAAAAGTAGTAGCCAGCGATGGACAATACTTTGATTAATCTGTTCATTCATTTTGTTCTGAAATAAATGCATTTTTGACCACAAAAAAACGGACCGAACTAATTTGTACTCCCAATA